AAAAAAAAAAAAAAAGTCATTCATGTAGCCAAAATATTCACGTATTCTATCAACCTTTAAGTAAAGTTGCCTAACATGCTATTGCCTATTTTCATTCCAGGATAGTACGTAAATAGATGGTAGTATTAAAAAAAGCTTACACCAGGATAATATGTACATAGATGATTATATTAAGAAAAGCTTACACCAAAATTAGTGAGGAAGAAATAAATTCAATTCTTTGTATGTCTTCCTTTTAAAGACATTGTGTAGTAGTCATTTATTGAGAAAATTAATAATAAAGAAAATCTATACAGAGCATTTTACGTTTGAAACTTTTAATTAGGCAATGATAATAAAAACAAATTTCTAATACCTTATATTCTCGAGGTAGAGATATAGTAGCACTGTGTAGCCAAGCTCGTACAGCAGAATATCTGGGAATGCACAGAAATAGTAGAACAATTACTAATGATAATGATTAAAACATATGCCATTAACTTTCACGCCATTCATTAATTGAGTCTAAATGTAGTGCAAAATAGTAATCCAATGGTCTTTATGCCTTTGAAGCAACAAAAATGCATTTAAAAAACAAAAAACAAACATAAAAGGAACAACAAAGAAAACGCAACAGCAAATTAGTCCCCAAAAAACCATCAGTAGGCAGAAAACAACAAAATAAGAAAGGTGCAACACATTTTTTGGTCAGCCATGAAGAAAATTTTAGAAGCATCCTAACCCAAATAAATAGATTCAATGATAAATAGAAAAGGAACAGACGTCTTACACTTTGGCAGGAAGAACATGAGCAATGAAAAATGTAGATCAAATCCTTAGTTGTACTTAAGCATATCTTCTGAACAATTATAATAATATAGAAAATAAAGCACTAAACATTTTGGTGTAAAAAAAATATAAAATATTACTACATGATAAGTGTTTACTGCAAACATCAAATCAACTTTCATCTTGATGAAAATCTATGGCCAGAAATCAACCAGAAGAGAGATTTTTTTTAGAAAAGGCTGCATAGCTGGTAAAATAGGTTGCTAGCATTATCATGAGGGTTAAAATTAAAATAATAAAAATAGCCATTTAAACTATTTTACAGTGGGCTATTCCTTAGCCCAATTGTATTTAGTATATCGGCCATTGAATTACTTAACCCAAATGAATAAACATATATGATGATTGCAATAATATGCATTAGCCCATTAAAATAATAATTTCTTTTTTTTTTTTTTAAACTCACTGTATTGTTGCAACTTGAAAGGAGGCATGAACTGGGTAATGCAAATTGTTGGAGCAATTGTCATATCCAAATGCTAGCAAAAGCTTCATCAAGCGCTATTTTTTGCTCTGGCAGCGTTTTCAGCCCGGAGTTTCATGGCCTCTTCATCTTCATACTCAAGGCCCATTGCGTCTAGCCCAGGCCCAAGAGGGACCGGCTGAGAGACAACGGACGGGGCTGTGTGATTCCACCAGCAACAGCTGGCGCGTATTGGCCTTGAGCAACACCGCTCGACCCTGCTTAGGAGCTTGATGACTGCAATTATCGAGCTGGAAAACTGGTCATTAGAACATAGTTGAATCACAAAATATGAGGTTTAATCACAAAATATACACGCTCGGACTTTCAGGTTAATTACATAAGCATCCAGTTATCTTTCTCACCGATGTCGGCGCAGGAGGTTCAATTGTGAGAAATCCCTTCATAACATAATGATCATAAGTTTTAGAAATACTAAATGACTTAAAAGAAAATTCAAACTTTTATATAAAAATTCAAACATAATTATCATAAGCAGTATTCTCATAATCTCATTAAATGTAAATATACCTTGCTGTAATGTAACATAACCTAACCAGAGGAGAATAGCAAATTTCTTAAATTTGATGAGCATAGAGGTTGAAGAATATCATTCTCATTGGAGGAAAAAGCTTCGTCAATAAAATTGATATAACAAGTCATTGTTTATGAACCATGAAACATTAGAATTTTATTTGCAAATTATTATAATAGACAAGACTAGTGAACCATATGCAGTTTAAGTTATGAAGTGCACACCATCATCCCCATAACAAATTTCACATAAGTGAAAGAAAAGGAAAAACGTAAAGAAGACAAAGAGGAAATAGAAACGTGACTAACCCAGGCATCATCCACTAAGTTGTGTAATACATCTGAAGCATTAGTATTTAATGGTGTTGAAAACGAGTTTGCAGCCACACCTATCAAATTCAGAATCAAAATCAAGACATCCCATCTTGCTACTAAAAGTACAAAAATTGTAAATCCAGGAAAAAGGTTTCCTGACTTCAAGCGAATAAAAGAAACATTCCTAATAAAACTTACAATCGTTAGACTACCCACTTCAAATTCAATTGTTGCAATAATATGAGATAATTTTTCACAGTTATGTCGTAACTTTCCCATCGGCAACTCAAGAGTCCAACATCACACATTACTCATCTATCATGAATTTGTCACAAATCCAGTAAATCTCAGCATAGTGAACCTTAGACTTGATTAATCCTTCAATATAAGTTCTAAAAATAAAGAGGAGTATAAAAATGATTACCTCATTCAAGGAATCTACTAAAAGGCTGAAAGAGAACGAAGATCACTTGGCCTCGGGCCTCGATAAAACCCACGGCTCGGCTACTCGCGAATAAAGCTCTCGTCAACACGTACTGCTTCTCGGTTTGAATGAACGTAGGCTGAAACTATTGCTACTTGCTTTGCTAATCGAACGAACGAAGGCTCAAAGGTCGCTGCTGTTTGAATTTTTGGCTTCGGGCTGAAAAGAGAACGGTGGTTTGCTGCTCGTCGGGGCCCTCGGTGACGGGAAAGCTGCCGCTGTTCGATGATGGCCTCGAACGGCTGTTGCTCGCTGTAACTCGGCTATCTGTGGACAGAGGCTGATGGACAGACGGTGGCTGCTTTGAATAAAAACCGGCGGGAGCTGCTGTGGAGTGTCGCCGGCTAAAGGTTGCTGAAATACGAATGGACGGCTACTCTCAGGTGTCTTTTGCGCCCGTGAACAATGCCATTTACCCTTTTCAAATATGAAACAAAACACAGAATTCTACAAAATTAAGCCCATCCGCGAGGTCAGCATATCCCTCTCCAACGTTTTCGACTCCCGCCGGTAAAGACCATGGCTGTATGCATACAGTCCTCCGATAGCGCCTTCCTCTTCTGCGCCGCGGTCACGGTCCCTCTCACCTCAGTAGTGCTCTCCCTCTGCTGGCCGGATTCGAGGGCCAAGGGTGCGTCCCCAGATCACAGCGGACGACGCGCCGCCACTCTTCGTGAAGATCGGTGTGTCAGTGGAGGACTTGTGTGCGACCCATGGGTAAACAGCTCGTGGTCCTCTCGCGGTTGTTCTTGATGGGGAGCAGCACCGGCGGGAGCACCATCGACCACGCGGAGCTGTGGGACGTCGATCTGGATTTTGATATGAGAAAACTTGTCCATTGGAACCAATCTTCCCTCTAATTCTTGGAGATGAAACGGGAAAGTTTGGGAGGAGTTTTGAAGAAATGAGATTTGCCCCTTCGGTAAGAAGTCTTCCTTGGGAAGATATGTGTTCTTGGGAAAATGCCATAGTACAGAAAATCATGTTTAGATGGGATTTTGACAAGATGGAGGGAAGCTAGAGCATAAATCACGGGAGAAAAGCAATCAGCTTAATTAAATGAAATTACCGGCAAATTCGATACTGGCGGTATGGGCACTCAGTAGTGGCACGGTGCTCTAGGATACTTAGCTAGGTGTGTCAGGGGCAGTTTTGCACGCGCATTTCTCACTCCAAAAACAATAAAATTTGGAAAGTGTAGTGCACATTCCTATTTTTCCCTTTTTAATTAAAAAATGAGATATATTACATAAATTAAAATATTATTAATTATTTTTATTAAAAAAATTAAAATAAAAATACCAAAATTCATAATTTTTCATTATCTATAAATAGAGACCACATTTTATAGGTTTTTGAACACAACTAATTTTTCGTTTTTTCGTAATTATTTTATTATACTGACATATAATGACCATGTTACATAATAAAATGAACATGTTTTCAGATTGCAGATTGAAATAATACATATTCATCTTATTTTACAACATGTTCACCTTATTGTGTATGTAACATGTTCATCTTATTCTATAACATGTTCATTTTATTATGTAACACGTTCATCTTATTTTAAAACATGTTCCTTTAAATTTCATATGTGAAAATGTAACATTTTCATCTTATTCTATGACATGTTCATCTTACTATATAACATGTTCATCTTATTATGTAACATATTCATCTAATTATATATTTATGTTATAATCTTCCAATAAGATAAACTAGTGCATGTCCCGTGCGATGCACGAGAAAATAATATTACGATTGTGTTATAAATTAAATATAAAAAATAAATTAATCAAGATATATCCATTGTTTCTAAATTAAATTGTACTGAACACAGTCCGACCGGATAGACCGAGAACCGATTCATAATCAGTCTAGTTCACTTGAATATAATATTTGCTATTGAATCCGTCAACACCAGTCGGTTGAACTGGTAGGAGTGATACGGTTTTCTAAATTTTTTTTGCTATATTTAAAATTATATTAAATAAAATTACATATTTAAATAAAATAGAGATTTAGAACTTGTTTATCAATTAATTTAAAATTTTGAATTTTTAAATTGTTTAGATATTTAAGTAAGAAATTTTATCCAAATTATTACAAAATACTTATATATATATATATATTAAAGTGTATTTTTAAATAAAAAATTAAATTGTATGATTTTTATAAATTAAATTGTATGATTAAATTGTATAATTATATTCAAGCGTTTTTATAAATTAAATTGTATGATTTTTAAATAAAAATAAGAAAAAATAACCTACTATATATGGGCTGCATTAAATGCTTAACTATTTTTTTCTACTAATCTTAGTAAATTAGATGGCTCTTTATATAAGTATAGATTAATTGTGTTCCAAAAAATATCAAATGTGGTCTCTATTTATAGATAATGAAAAATTATAAATTTTGTATTTTTATTTTTATTTTTTGATACAAAATAAGAATGATAATTTAATTTATATAATATGATATATGAATTTCATTACCCAATAGAAATGAGGCACATGTCCCATTTAACAAAAAAAAAAATGCATTATCTCCTTCCCTCACACGCTTTTGGGAGGAGTGTATTTTACGAAAGGCTCTGGCACACCTAAGTATTTGCCATGGGCACTGCCCTCACCACCTCAAACAGCTAACACGTGTCTTTCTCTTTAATTTATTATTTTTTTAATCTATTAAGGGTCAGTTTGGTTGGACTTTTTGATTGGGCTTGATACAACCCAAGACTGTTTGGTTGCATTTTTTATTTAGGATTGGGCCCTAATAAGTTGTTTGGTTGGGTTTTATAACTCAAATTTCCTTTTCAAATTTTTATTTTATTTTTTTGTGTTTTCTCCTACTTCCCATTTTGACATCAAAGAGAGAAAATTCGAAGTCGATTAGAAGAAGAGATTCAGACGAAGAAGGTGATTCCGACTGCATACTTGAATTACAGCAACTCGGATTCTCGGCGGAAAGACAAGCTCTTACGGACGAACGAGACGATTCCTGGACAGGTGCCTCATAATCGGGCTTCATCAGAAAATCACCAGGTAAGCTTATAAATCGATTTACTTTCTTGGTAGAGTAGAATTTAATTTCTGGCAACATTTGTTGTGTGCAATTATTTAATTTGTTCACTTTGTTCAATTACTATTTGGGACTATACCCTAAATTAGGGTTCCCTTGTTCGATCTCAGCATTCATAATTACAGTTGATTATGTTATATGTGTGTAATTCAAGTCTTCTTCTGCTTTTCGAGGTACGAGCACGCAAGGTCCTGGAGGAGTTGACTGTATGACAAGTTGAGAGTTTTGGTTTGTCTGAGAACATTTGGTTCAGTTAGTTTCTCCTTGTCTATTGCATCAGATATAGGGTTTTAAAGACATTTATAAATTTTAGTGGAGTGGTGGTATAGATTTTTCATTTTTCAGTCTTTTAATAGTTTATGTCATATTTGGTCAGTGTATGAGAGTTGGTCCAAACATTGTGTACAGAAGCATATGACATAACTTCTTTTGTCAGCTCTCCTTTGACATTGAAATTATCCTTTGTTATGCACCAATTGTCTGCAACTGATATATGATTCTCCTTGCATTGCATAATGTCTTGCATATGGTGAAATGGGCTATGGAAAACTCATGACTGAACTTCAGTTTTGTATGTTTACATTGGCAGGAATGAAACCACATACTCGAAATGATGACATTGCAAAGCTCTTCTGTTGTGACGGTTGGAATGAAAACGAAGAGAACTTTCTCGTTGAACAACTTGAATATGCTGCTCTTAATATACCTGTAAGTTCCATTACCACGTTTGATACCTGTTTGTGGTATATCACTGGGTTGTTGATAGAAACATTTCGGAAAGAGTTTTTCATTCCAATGGTAAAACAAAAAGTCATCAATTTGCGGAGACACTACAATTCCTTTTTGGACTGGAAACAAATCCCAGGCGTATATCACAATCGAAAATCTAACAGAGTCTCTGTCGATGGAGTGTATTGGCAATCAATCACTAAGGTTAGGTACATCATATACTGCTGATCCTTTTTCAATTCATTCTTCGGGAAGCTATATGCAGAAGGTTTATTTTTCATTGAACTATTTTAATGTTTCAGAAAACTGTGGAATGGAGGTTTTTCAGACCCTTTGGGATGAAACATTTTGAAATAGCAGACTTATTGTTCAAGACAAAGAATGCAGCGCCTATTGTGTTCCTCGGTGCTAGATTCAGAGGAGACAATTGTTATTAGGCCACAAGTGTTGTGTGAAGATGTAATAGACTTGTAACCTTTTGAATTAGTATGTAATGACTTTGGGTTGGTATAAGGACTTGATTTGTTAATGTTAACAATTTGTTCACTTTTGTATTGGAATATATGAATTTATTGAGCAGTTGGATGTTTGTAGCCACTTGGAAGTTATTGAGCAGTTGGATTTGTTGGATTTATAATGGTAACAGTTTGTTCACATTTGAATGATTCTATGAATTCATTGATTGATTCTACAAATTGATTGGAGAAACATGAAGTATATTTAAAAGAATGTCTGTAAATGTAGATGAAGTTTTGGCAGTATATAATTTGTTTGTAAAAAAAAAACAAAGCATGTTTTGTGTGGCACTATGAACCAACAACATTAAATCAAACACAAGTGTTGCACATTACTAGTTCTCAAACAATAATAACTCATCCACAGTTACTACTTCCATGCATGTAATAATACAACACTGGCTCAAAAAAAGTGTTGCACATTACTAATTCTCAAACAATCAATAACTCATCCAAATTTAATCAGACTCAATACATTAGCATTCAACCTGCAACACTCAAATTAAGACATATTAGGAACCTAGTGTTCATGTCACTCGAAAAAACAAATGACCTGCAACTATTGTCAATACTTACCATAGTTAAAATACCATACAACAATGATCAAGCCCAAAAGGACAACGAAAACACGAATCTTACTCTCATGACTTATTTTTTGATTTATTGAATCTAATAGCTCCAGAAGCTCCACATTTTGAGCTTTTACAACTCTTAGTTTTTTTTTCCTTTTTATCCAACTTGTGAGTTAGGACTTCCAACAATGCGTCCTTCTTTTTAACTTCTTCCTCCAACATTAACTTAGTTGATTTGAGGTTTAGGTAGCATGCCTTCTGAAAAGGAGGTAGTTCGTCGTCGATCCATTCAAAGAACTCACAATCTTCGCCTACAATAAAAGAAATACATGGTGTTAAAATTTTTTCTCGACTGAACGGCCATAACTATATTACAACACCATTCATAACTCACAAATATATGTCAACCATATATTCATTTATTGCAAATCTCAACCCATCTTTTGGCATTAGGTTTAGAGTTGAGGATTGCATATGAAACTCCATTTTTAGTTTTAAAAAGCTTCTAGGAGCTTTAACTTACATGAAAATTCCAAACAAACAAAAACCAGCTTCTCCAATTTTGAAACTCTCAAACAAACACTCTTACAACAATACTATCAACTAGGGTCGGAATCGGTTCGGTTAACGAACCGATAAGTTCAAACCAATACCGAACCGATATTTTCGGTAAGTATAAAATGGAAACCGAAACCGAACCGCCTCTTAGTCGGTAACCGAGTCTTTGATTATCGATAACTCGGTTCGGTTTCGATTTTAACCGAAAAAACTGAAAAAAATTAAAAAAAAAATTATGGTTATAAAACCAAACTAGACCGGAGTGGTTTGTGGTAGTGAACCAAGAACTGTTCATATCAACTTAAAATAGGTAAAACCAAAAAACCAATCCGTTAAAAAAAGGGTTTTGATTTCAAAATCTGAATTACCAAGGTTAATTAAAAGTAAAAGTTACCCCTT